AGCAGAATCTATCGAGCTCTAAAACATCTGTCTCTTCTCATATAGAGATATAAATACATTATTGCTTACATATTGATGGTGATAAATTTACGTATACATCCTGAGTGATAGCTGTACACATATAATGTATATTGCAGTCATTTCATGAGTACCAGTATTACTCATAAAATGACTGCATAATGTCAAACATTTATCTCGAGAGAAGAGAGAAGATATAATATCTTTGTTATTCTCTCTAGGTAATCTAAATTAATAAGTTATCGATGTTTTCGGCGAAATCAATTAGTAAGAAAAATGATTGCACACATTTAGTTTTGGATATTTAGTAAATCACTATCATTGTACTAAAACTCACGCCACATGTACCATTGTTGAATGTTCATTCATACAAGTGGTGTGTGTTGTCCTAGGATCTACAGTGTTAGGTTATTACATTACTTTAATAAGTTTCAAGTTAGGCATTATTTCTTTACTGCTGGCTGTATAAAGAAGCTCAAGGTTGCTCAGCGTGCTATAGAGAGGGCTATGCTCGGGGTTACTCTGCGTGATAAAATTAGAAATAAGGATATCCGCAGTAGAACCAATGACTGACATAGCCCAACGGATTCGTAAGCTGAAGTGGCAAATGAGGGGACAAAAGGTTCGGTACAACGGGATAGTATACACCGTCTTTCAGCGTAAAATTTGAATTTGTTACTTTTAGTAGTGTTATAAAAAACTTGCTCGCATTTTCTTTCTCAGTTACATAGGTAATACAAATAGGATATAGATCCTATTTGTATTATTTATCGTTACAGTTACAACCTGTAAAGTCCACTGCTCCAACATATTCCTTCTCCATAGATTGCCTGATAGGGGTCATATTGTTTCCATATCGCATCCGCAGTTTTTTTTTTAATTTTAGTCATCTCCTGATTTATTTCCCACTTTCACATCTTACGACACTTCTTGTACCGCCACTACACAGTTTTATTATTTAAAAGTATACAAATAAGATGTTCATGTCACTAGAAACTACGTCATTGCTTGGTATTTCGATAAAATATCTACAGAAAACTTTCATGTGATTCATGTGTCAATGAAAGTTTTCTATGTGAAAGAAATATTTCAATTGGTATGTATAAGTTCAACTACCTTACCGAAACAAGCGATTTGTGATTTTGTACAAAATAATGGCTCGGGCTTAAAATTATAAGGGGACTTATTATGCCAATCTAATTTGTCCGCGGTGCAGTGAAAACCGAAAACCTCTTTCTCTGATTAGGAGTTAGGAGTCCGTTTGGATAGGGTAGTAAGTAGGCTGCTTACCTATTTCAGCCGTCATACAGCAGTGCATTAACTACTAATATATAAGTATAATTTCGGGTTGTGGGGCATTCGATCTAGTGGTGGGTAAGAATACCCACTACTCCATATCCTCTCGTGGATGTCGTAAGAGGCGACAGAGGGAAATAAAAGGCAGATGATGGGCAGAAGCAGCTTTGTGATAACAGCAAAAAGCAAGAAAAAAACTCCATTTGCCTACCCGGTCGCCAAGTGTGGCAACTATGGCAATATCCCCCCCTTGAGCAACGATAAAAATATACGGCCCCCAATCCTCGGCGGCCAAGCTATCCCTGGCTACGGATGCGACCATTGTAACGGCAGGGCAGGGGGTGTTAAGAATCTCCGGTGGAGGCTTGGTTGCCACCTAAGACGATTCGATCTATAAATATATAACGCACGCATCCTGAGGACTGACGAAAAGATCCTGGAGCTGAAAGAAGAGATAGACAAGTTGCGCTGGAATATTATAGGATTATCCGAGGGCATAGGATGTCCGAAGAGAAGGGGAGGACACGGTAATCCTCGAATCCGGCAACTTGTTCTATCACCGAGAGGGCGACCATCTGGCCCAAGGAGGTATCGGATTAATCGTCCACACGTCTCTCTTTATCAACATTGTAAAGATTGGGAGCGTGTCGACGAGGGTTGCGTACCTTATACTCAGAATCACCAAACGGTATTCACTGAAAGTCGTACAGGTTTACGCACCAACTTCGGCACATCCCGATGAGGAGGTGGAGGAAATGTATGAGGATATCTCTAGAGCCATGCATTCCTCCAAAACCTTCAGACTTCACAGTAGTGTAGTTGTACCACTTCTAGACCACCTGAGTCAGACGTGGTTCAACGACGTTCGTCGACGCCCGATCCTAAAAAAAAAAAAAAAAAAAAAAAAAAAAAAAAAAAAAAAAAAAAAAAAAAAGGTTTTGGCATGCTCTGATCACGAATCCGCGGTCCATTTTTGTGTAGAATGCACGGTTCCGGAGATGTGTAGATCAATTAGCTAATATCTAATTGATATCCGGTAAGGGCCTCCACCGTCATTAGCGTCCCATTGTTCCTATTTCTATTGTTCTATTGTTCATTAATCACCCTCATTGCAGCGTGTGCGTCGACTATATCAGTGCTATTGTTTATTATAATTCTTTGTTTATACAACGCTAATCTGAATCATCAATAAAACACATTACATAATTTTGTTACAATTTTTATTTATAAAATACAAAATCTTATTAATTATTATCTATAAAATAGGACCGAAACATCTCATCCACTAAAATATCGTTGTACAATGTGTTCCTTGTAAATATACTCGTAAAACTATGTATTGAACATCCTTGAAACTTATATAGTAAATACATTAAGCAATATTCGCCACAAACTGAAGTCCACTCATTCTGAATCCTATCAACATTCCAGTTCCATCTTTTACAATTCCTTTTTAAAAACTCTAGATGATATCGTACAGGTGATCGTCCATATGAATCAAAATATTGACCGACGTCATTCGTATCGATATATAAAGCTACCCAATGTGACCCTGGTTTATCATCTGTATCCAAATTACATATTATATACGTTGGTACGTGGGTATACATAGGCAGTCTATTAGCTGCATAAACATTATTTTCTAGACTGGGGTGAATCTTTTTCAGATGTTGTTGTACATCTAGTGTATCCATGATATTACTGCTATTAGTAGATTATTACAGTACCTAGCTACTCAATGAATAACATAGGAATGGTCAATTATAGTGATTTCTACATATTAAATTGCATTTTTGTGATATACAAATCGTACTTGAGTCATTGATCACCAAACAAAACACAATACGAAGAAATGTTGAGATAGGCAACGGAAATGTGAGATAAACTGATATGTTTCTAAATATTAAATTGCATTTTTGTGTTATACAAATCGTACTTGAGTCATTGATCACCAAACAAAACACAATACGAAGAAATGTTGAGATAGGCAACGGAAATGTGAGATAAACTGGTTGACGCATAAAGTAATTATCAACTCATTACGGAAATACTTTAGATTAGAATTTTTACGTACTGGTGGTATATAAGACCAACAAACGCAGTCATCGAGTTAGTGTACGGTCGTTTGGCTACAGTGGATCTATCAATAGTACATTTGTGTTACTTCAATACACCAAAGGCTATGGATGTAAGTGTTTATTCTATTGACTAAATTACTTTTTTTCTGTTATTTTCATGTGTGTGTGTATTATTTTATTTAAATATTGTGTATGTATATGATTAAGCCGTGGTAACTCAGATGGTTAGCGCTAGCTGTAAATTTCACAGTACGCGACCCGGGTTCGATCCCCGCCAGCACCAATTAAATTGTTAATAGCAATTTTAAGTGCTTAGTACCACGTGCTTGGTGGTGAAGGAAAACATCGTGAGGAAACCTGCATGTCTGAGAAAATTTCGAAGGCATGTGAAGTTCACCAACACACATTGAGGGAGCGCGGCGGACATTTCCTTGCTCTAAAACCCTCTCAGAAATGAGAGGAGGCCTATGTTCAGCAGTGGACTTTAATAGGCTGTAACTTTAACTTTTTTAACTTTTATGATTAAGTGTTAACAAATTGATATTAACATGATAACTGTGTTGTTGCAGAAATCATTGAGCTTCGATGAAGATACCTATAAACAGTATTACTACTCGCCACTCTCCCCTCAAGAAGAGAGTGATAACCTCGTCATTAATAATAACACATGCGATGGTGGAAAAAGAAAATCGCAATCGATTGATCATTTTTTTGAAGCTGAATCAAAAATAAAAAAGAGGAAGCTGTTATCATCAACCGTAGCACGAGCCGCTAGAGATGGTGTATCATACATTTCTACTAATTCTGACGACGGAGACCAAGCGACGCATCTCATCAAAATTGAAATGTACGATATGAAGAAGCTATCCAAGATTCCAACTACTGATCATTGGAAACATGCTTCCACGAGAATTAAATATTACGTAAAGACTAATAAGGATAGCATCTACGACAATACAAACGCCCTCGTATACAATATAACAAAGACAATAGCAGAAAGTGAAAAAGTTAAAAAATACTTTTTTAACAATGACAGTCATTAGCTGATCATTAGTGAATGTGATTCTGTTTACTTCAATTACAGGAAGACAAGAGCGGAAGGAAGAGATGAGTGTGGCATACGTGTACAAAACACATCATTGAATAACAAAACTACAACACTGAGTGGAGAAGAAAACGAGAAGAGTATGCAGTACTCAAGAGCTGAATATCCATTCTTCAGTTCAAAATCTAGCCGTTTGCTTAGTTTCGAAAACTGGCCTCTAGTTATGCGACAGAAACCTGAAGATCTTGCCGAAGCTGGTTTCTTTTATACTGGCCATGCAGACGGGACCAAGTGTTTCCATTGTGGTGGTGGTTTAAAAGATTGGGAAGATGATGATGATCCTTGGCAGCAGCATGTTCAGTGGTTTAGTCAGTGTGCTTATGTAAAATTTCAACTCGAACAGTGTTTTGTATTAGATTAAATAGAAGATTTATAAAGAAATAAAAAAAATATATTGCATACAATTTGTTTTATTTAATTTTATAACGTTTCACATAGTTACATACACACAAAATGCATTACACATAACACATAAAATCTAACACACAACACATATTATAACCTTAACTACTATAGTCTACAGTAACATTTCTGTTTTTATCTATCTCAATAATATTATCAAACTCAGCATAAACTATACAGTTAATTGTTTGTATTAATGAGGATTCAAATCGTACTTCTATTCTTACACTACCATGCTTTATGAGATTCCAATGAGTTGATGAGTTAGCTGATAAATCAGGAGTTAAGTCAAATGCTAATAGACAGTAACCTTTGCCATACTGTTCACAAGAGATTCCATTTCCTTCATTAAGAAAGTGAATACCAGTTCCCGAGAATAGAGTATGATATGCTGATGTAAATATGCTATTATTAAAAGATGGTTGCAAAGCTTTTGAAGGTATTTGTTGACCATCAATATATAAGCTGAAAGAATTAATACCATAGTTTTCAAAGTTAAATGGATTTTTAGTAAGGGAACCATTAAATGCAGAATTGTTCACAAATCCAATTATACATCTTTTCGGTACCTGTCCTAAAAATATATTATCAAGAGTTTTTCCTTGAACACCTGAAGGAATTGTTAAAACTTTTACTTCAGCTCGAGTAATAGGATATTTAGCAGTGGTAGAAGCTAAAACTTTTTGATGTGCGAGTAATACACTTGGATTAATTCGTGCTCGTCGCACAATAAGAGTTGCGTCCGTAATGCAAACTTTAAGCTTTACATCGTTCGACCCAACAGTTAAATTAAAACTCTCTCTTGATCGAACCAATTTAACACTCATTTCAACACCATTAATTAAAAATTTATCTTGGTTAAAAATGTCACCGTGAAGATGACCAATCATTTCTATTTCCTTACTTTCACTAATCAATTCCTGTCTTTTAACAAATCCTATGTTTTTACCATCTGTAGAATCCATTTTTCCTGCTGTATCCTCATACCAAAGGCTACAAGTAAGATGAGATTGTTTAGCAGCAGGGGCATAGTTTAAAAGGGTTTCCATGTATGCTCGATATGCATAGGTATTATTAGGTGATACAAGTTTTTGGTTTAAATAAACATCAAGTTGACTAAAAAGTGAATGCAGCCAATTATTTACAGGTGCTACTATTGTAGTAGATACCAAGTTAGTTGAATCTTGATTTAATACTTTTGCCTTTATGTGGAGTAATGTATGAGACAAATCTATGTAGTCATCGCCGGTCCCAGGAACTTGAAACTCGATAGGTCCATCATCACCAAGAGATGAAATTGGTTTATAATGAATCCACAATCCATTTTCAATGCTAGTTTGTGTAGACGGTAGTGCAAACAAATCCAATTCTGACTTAACGCACTCGCAAGAATGATTATGAAGGAAAGACATATTTAGTTTGAAAATATATCTTTGATATTTTTTGGTTTTAGACTAAGTTTTTTCGCAGCTTTCACTTTAGCAGTTAATGGTGGAATGAACGATGTCAATCGTTTTCTTTTAGTTTTATACCCAGATCCAGTCATGTTAAATTGATCAATTTTCTCATCAGCCTTTCGTTTTAAATTCGTACTAACTTGCTTTAGACGATCTTTTATTGAGGCTTCCATAGGACGGGCTTGAACCATATCCGATAAAAGTCCTACTCCAGCGCTTAATGCCTCCTTACCAATCACTCTAAGAATAACCCCCCTAAGAAGCTCCCAATACCATGACCGCGTTGATATGGTGAACCCTTATAAATTACTCCAACTCCTGATCCAGCTTGATGTGTATAATAATTTTCATATGGACATTTATGATGATCACGAAGAGAATTCATTATTATAATTTTCGGAAATGTAGTTTAATACACACGGTTCCAAACTGGAATGGTATTTTTTGTCCTGTACTCGATCTTATAACTATTTCCAACGTATCGAACTCTCTTCGCATAACAGGTAAGTAGTGAGGTTGAGAGAAAACGTGCATTTTATTTGCACCATAAATGTATTTTGTAGGATCTAATGAAATGACTCTTAATAAAGGAGTCATAACATCACCCACAATCTGAGGATCGATAATGTCGCAATATAGAAATAGTTGAGATGGTAACCCTAAGTGTAAGTTAGCAGGACACTTTCCAAAATTTCTCTCTAGGAGATTTTTATTTGGTTCATAACCTAGCTGTAAACTTAATTTGGGTGATAATGTTACGGATGTTATATTTTTATCCAATACCGAAATAGACACAAATTTTGTTATTTCATCATAGCGAAATTTCAAGTTCTCTCCGATACCATTTAACACTCTTAAAATATGCTCAACGTTATCATAGTTGGTAGCTGGAATATGTTTTTTGTAGTACACTGTGGATGGCTTATCTTCATTAGGCATTAACATAGATTTTGTAATGTATATAACATTTTCATGGTCTTGAACAGTAAACATGGTACATGGATATTGAAACTCGACAACTCCAACCGACCATTCACCTTCTAATTTTATAGCTTTTGGTAATTTCGTTGAAAAATTTGTGGTCTTGTTATCAGGAAAGTATTCCATTGAACTATTGCTGAGCAAAGTTAAATAGAAACTTTCTTTATTCATATTTCTTTTAAACTAGAAGCTAAAATCCAACTGTTAAATTTATCTGGATAACCTTTCCACTTCACTAATACTTCTTTTCTGTTACTTGAATAACGAGTGTCAATTATTTTATCTATTTTATGTTGTTAGGTGGGGTTGTAAGTGATTTTCTGTAATTCTCTTTCATAAAAAGTACCAATTATTGGTTCATTTTGTAAATCTGTTATTGTATAAACAACCCATGGAGATCTATCAATTATTGAAGATATAATAAATATTTCATCACTCCAATTTGATTCATATCCTTTTTGGAATACATGTTTATATTTAGTTATTCGAACATAATCACCCACATTGAAGTTTGGTTTAGGATTTTCTACAGAAAGTTTTTTTGACCGTCTATCATAAAGATTAGTCCAAACTGTCATAATATTGTTGGAATTTACATCACATGGGCACATCTTAATACTAGAGTGAAAGCTGTGATTATAAGAGTATATTAAATCTTGTAAAACATCTATATATCTATAAGTATTATTATGAGTGAAATAACGCCACATTTTCATTTTTAGTGTTCTTTGAAATCGTTCAACAATACTGGCCTTAATGTCAGGATTGTTAGTGGTATAGTAATTAATCTTTTTGGATTTAAAGTATTTTTGTACATCTTTTGAAACAAATTCTGTACCTTTATCGGATTGTATGTGAGTAGGTGTTAAATTACTTTCAGTAAATATACTTTCAAAACATTCTTTAGTTGTTTCTGAGTTTTTCTTTTTCATTGGTCTTGCAAAAGCATATTTACTAAATACATCAATAATACAAAGTATATACTTGAAACCATCATTATATTGAGAATAAGTTCGCATATCACTTAAATCAGCTTGCCACAGTTCATTAATATTTGATAGAATGTACCTATTACGCGGGAATTTTTTTCTTGTATTGTGTATGTTTCTTGTGATTTTAACCATTCCTTTACTTGCTTTTTATTCATTTTACCCTTCATGGCTTTTGATAATTTATCAATACTACCAAAACCAGCGGGATTAGATGGATCATAATAAATCCTGTTAATTTCTTCTAGTACGGAGTCCATTTTTCCCACTCAAGTCCTTTACGTATTTTAGTTGTAGACTTTTTATCTCTACTGCACGGTGTAGAAAACTCTTGAACTTCAATCTCAGAGGGTTTGTTTAGATCTTTTGCTTGAAGTTGGTTAATAAACTCACATCTCCTTGGATTTCCAATATAAGTAAGTGGTACTTTAATATCTTTTAATGCTTCAGCAAATCTAACCCACCCTACCGGATCACTTCTTTTTAGGGGTCTTAGTGAATCATTTATTAAATCAACAATATTACTTCCAGGAATTTTTTCACTATCAATTATGACTGTACCTTCGTTATCCCAATGTATTTTACTTTTACTTGTTTCAACTAAGTTTAATAATAACTGCCCTTTTTTATGATAAGCTTTTGGTATTAAACTGAGTATTTGAGCTGGTGTGTAAAGTGGATTTTCATCATTTTCTTTACTTTTAATGGATCGATTCTCCTCCAGCAAAGATTCAATATCAACTGAAGTTTTTAGATCTCTATCTTTATTTTTAAAACCAATTTTTGACTCATTTGAATCTTCATTAGATGTATCAGAATAAATTGGTAATTTGAGTGGTTGACGATCCTCTTCGGTAAAATGAAGGTATCTTTGCAGTGTTTGTAAATATAATATCCATTTCTTTCGGTCTTCCGTCTTACTATTCATAATATTTTGCATTTCAATATCTAATCGAGATAAATTACTATTAACCTTATTTTCTTGTTTTAATTTTTCAATCAATCCAGGTTCGATAAGTATCATTTTCTTTGCATTTTCCATGTTAACTGGCTAGTCCACTCACTAATCCACTCAATATTGCACCTAATATTGTTGGTAAGAAAGCCCCTCCTTTTCGTATAATTATATTTTTTCTTAGTTTATGTTTACACTTACGTACTAGTTTACGGAGTATGTTTTTATGTTTATTCAATTTTTGTTTATCCTGATCTTTAAGAGGTACTTTTCCTTGTAAAACGTTATGAATACACTCACAAATACAGTTTATTTCTTCTTCATCACACGTTTTAAGTAATGCTCTTTGATATTTTGGTTTAAGCGTATGCAAAGCGGTTAGCAAATGTTTATACGTTGTGAGTCGACGATGCATCATTTAGCAATGATTTCAATTGTTTGATTCTTGGTGTATTTAAACTCTTTTGTGGGGACGTAGACTGTACAGAAACCATTAAATGGAAAGACATTTGTCTTGATACGACAAAAATCATTGGTATTCTGTTTTAAATCTACCATTAAATATCCATGCGCCTCTAGAGTTGCATCCCTGTAGGCATTTTCAATGAATTTTGGGTTATCTGGTGATACTTGTCTTGCTAAATATCTTATTTGAGTTTTATCTCGAGGGTTTTTAAAATATATTATATAACTTGAGTTTAAAGATATGTCTCTTTGTCCTTTACCCTGATGAAATAAATTTTGTGTTAGATAAAATACACTAAGATTCCTGTGATGACTACCTTTTGTAAATATATCCACAATTCTTCCATCGGACTCTCTCATTAGATCATCAATAATAACAAGATGTGGGTTTTCACCATCAAACATATTAAGATTTGGAATTCCTTGATGATAGTTAACATTTGGTAAATTATATAATGGTTGCATTTCATCAAAGCACCATGTGATCTGATTAAAATCACAATTACATATTTCTGTAACTGATTTTATGAAATTTGTTACAAAATTTGACTTCCCACACCCACTTGGTCCTGCCACAATAGCAGTGAACGGATGGATAAAGTGAAACATAACACACGTCTAAAGTTCAAAGGGGTGAAATAAAAAATGAAAGTGTTGGTGTAAACAATTAATATATATTCCAAAAATTATATAAAACAGAATTATCTGTATACTATTTCTAACACAATTAGTACATCATAATTTTACAATTAACTCAACCTCAAATAAATAGAAACAACAATTAGTACATCATAATTTTACAATTAACTCAACCTCAAATAAATAGAAACAACAATTAGTACATCATAATTTTACAATTAACTCAACCTCAAATAAATAGAAACAACAATTAACTTAAATTATTTACAATAAAACAATGTTTAAATCTATACATATAATAAAACTGTAAATAGCAGATGTCTGTACATTTTATATTTTTGTAATAAAAGTGATTGAGGGGTACTAAAAATAAGTAATTAAATACATTTCTACCATTTTTAGAATTTTCTGTCTGTCTGTCTGTCTGTCTGTCTGTCTGTTTGTTTGTTAACGTATCACGTTTAAAGTACTAATTTATATCAAAAGAATCGTTAAGGAAATTCTAAAGTGTACCTTCGGGTTACATTTAGTCTTTATTTCATTAAAATCGGTTCATTCCATCAAAAGTTATGATAAATATTCTGAAGTATGGCTACAAAGTATAGGTACGAATTTGTTCAATGGTGGCGTTTGTTGAGTCATCAAGTACATTTTAAACTAATATCATATTATAAATCATAACATAATTAAATGATGTAAAATAATGTTCTATAATGATGAAATTATATCTAAAACGCAGTAAACAAAAGTATTGCATAAAGAACGTAATAAATATATTAAAAAATATATTAACCTTATTATGTAAATCTAAAGTACAATAGTTAACCCATTTCATCGATAGATGGTGGTGTTGCACAAATGTCATGCAAGAAGGCAGGTTGTGGTTTTTTTTCTGTAAATGACTTTTCATATTTGCTGTTAATCTT